AAACTGCTGGGATTACAGGTGTGAGCCACCATGCCCGGCCTTGTGAATAAATTTTATAAATCTGTTTTCTTCATGTTTTCCTCTTCCCTTGGACATGAAAATATAAAAGTAAAATCATTTCCTCCTTGTAAGTGTTCAATTTTAGCTAATCTCAAAAAGGAAGTTGAAAATGATGCAGAAAAGTAAATAAAATGACAATCTTATTACAGTTTCACATACAACAGAAAAATTATTATTTAAAATTCATGGAATCCATTTTTATTTATAACTTCCACATACCTTTCAAAAAGGCCCAGTGTTCAAAAAATTTATCTACTCTATTGTCTGCCAAGCAGCCCCACAGTATTATAACTGATGACACATGTAGATGTGCTTTTCCATATACTATTATTGTTTAATATACACTACTTCACAAATTATAATGAAAAAGAGCATAAAGCTGTTGCACTTTCACCTGACTTTCTCTTTTAAGTATTAGTGCTCACAGTACAGCTCTTAATAATAGTATGTGCTCAATAAGTGTTGAATAATCAATGAATCAATTTCAGCTGCTTACCAACTTCCACTGCAACAATATTCTTAACAATTAAGGTTGGTCTCAAGCCTTCTGGGGACACCTGTATTCACAAGCCATCAATAGTCCTCCTCTTTTCCATTTTTTAAAAAATTTTGCTACCTTTGCGATTTTTCACAATTACCACAAATAAACCAACCACATTTTCAATCCTCTGACAAACTTAACTTCACATAATTTTGCAAGATAATTCATTTTAAAATGAGTAATTTTAGTCAATTAGGCAAGAAAGAATGCAAATAGGTGTCTCCTCCAATTTATAAAACAGATCAACACTCATAATTTCAATAGTCATAAGGCCATTTTGCTTTTCCTGCATGTCTATACCACTTAGCCATTTCTGCTTCTCAAAACAAACCATTTCACTAATTAAGGCTTTAGAAATTGTCACTCCTGGCCAGATGCAGTGGCTCAGGCCTGCAATCCCAGCACTTTGGGGGACTGAAGAGGGAGCATCTCCTGCGCCCAGGAATTTGAGACCAGCCTGGGCAACATGGCAAGACCTTGTCTCTACATCTTTTTTTTTTTAATAAAATTATCATCTTGGCCGGGCGCGGTGGCTCAGGCCTATAATCCCAACACTTGGGAGGTGGGTGGATCACAAGGTCACAAGGAGTTCAAGACCATCCTGACCAACAAGGTGAAACTTCATCTCTACTAAAAATATAAAAATTAGCCAGGCGTGGTGGTGCGCGCCTGTAATCCTAGCTACTCAGGAGGCTGAGGCAGGATAATCGCTTGAATCCGGGAGGCAGAGGTTGCAGTGAGCCGAGATTGCCCCATTGCACTCCAGCCTGGGCGACAGAGCCAAACTCCATCTCAAAAAAAAAGGCCGGGTGGGTGGCTCATACCTGTAATCCCAGCACTTTGGGAGGCCAAAGCGGGCAGATCACAAGGTCAGGAGTTCATGACTAGCCTGGCCAGTATGGTGAAATGCCATCTCTACCAAAAACACAAAAATTAGCCGGGCGTGGTGACGATCGCCTGTATTCCCAGCTACTAGAGAGGCTGAGGCAGGAGAATTGCCTGAACCCAGGAAGCGGAGGTTGCAGTGAGCCCAGATCCCACCATTGCACTCCAGCCTGGGCAACTAGAGCGAAACTCCATCTCAAAAAAAAAAAAAAAAATTATCATCTCAATTGTTTTTTCCTTCTTTAGTTTAGTCCTAATCGTTATTAACCAGGATTAGAATGAACTACCAGATAATTCTGATTGTCTTATATATGGCAAATAAATTCATAGTATAGGACACTTTGAAAATATATTATTCCAATATAAATATAACCCTAAAATTAAAACAGGTTCATAAAATCAAGTATTAGTCCATATTAACAGTAGCAGAAAAAACCATAAAATGAAAGCCAAGAAAAAAATATACTGAAGTCAGCGTTTCATTGTACTATCACCAGCAATAGCCTTTTGATTATGGAGTTCCCTAAAATTGTCATAGATCCCAAACTATCAACCATAAATGTCTGTAACTTTTGTTGAAAATGAACCTTAGAACAGCATATAGGAATGTTCCTTTATCAGATGGGCAAACTAAACTTAAAAAAAAAAAATTTATTTCTGTGTAGTTGGAATGGAAGACATAGCTCCAAAGACAATCTTAATAAATTTATCATAGGTAGGGAAGATAAAATCCTACCATTCTTCAATCAACATTTTTCACCTTCTAATAGAATAGTTTCAGATGTAACACTCCATGTTCCATTCATTCAGCAAATAGCTATTAAGCTACTACAGAGAGCTGTAGACTATTGTGCTATGAAAATGACAGTAACAATAACAGGGTTCAACAAAAAAAATTTTTCACCAAAAATATTTATTATTCTTGAGACAAAAGCAAGAAAATAACTGAAGTCCAGGAAGCGTTAAAAATGAAAATAGAGATTTGAGTAAGGGCCTTTCTTCCCCACCCAAGCATGATATTATTCTTAGCATCTAAATAGTAGCTATTACTCCCTCAGTCTATAAACTGGTACTAAACTTTCTAAATTGTAAAAGAGAAATTTGAAGTAAGCAATCCAGTACTTGTAATTAGATCTACTATCGTTTCTTTAGAAGCCCCCCAAACTGTCTTTAAAAACCCACATCTGTAACATAAAGTTCTGGCACCTTCTGAGGGAATTAAGATGCATAACAAAAGCAGCTGCAAGATACACAGTTTTGTGGTATGCATTTTCCCAGAATGGATTACAGTAGAACTAAATGAGAAGGAATTAACACCTGGAAGTCTAAGAAATTGAGCACACAAATACGCATGTGCTTACCATGATCTGAAGATTTAAATTCTCTAACACAATGATTTTTAGAACCCTTGCCATGAAAACTTAAAATCTTTGTTTTTTAATGTTGAAGAGAAGACAAATACTTCAAAGTGTCCCCTTTTATTGAAGACATACTTTTCAAATTTTTTTTCCCTAGGTTGCGGAGAAGGGGAATGTTGATTCTGATCACTTAGGCTATGCCTCTATTCTAACCACATTTTCATTTAAAGTCAACTTCTGAATTAACATTGAAAACCACAGTCAAAATGTTGCTGTAATAATGTGAAAATGATAAAAAACTGCCCGCCATGCTTATTCTATTTCACACACAACAGTTAGTCTTAGTATAAATGGTATATGTCCTCTTCAGCTGTAGATTTCAATAGAGATTATTCCCTAACTGAAGTAGACAGCACTTCAAAACGTGTGACATAAGTCTGTGTCTCAATATCTAGGTGGCTCTCAGTATAGTACTAATTTGCAGTTCAGTCTAGATCACTGGTTTTCAAAGTGTGGTCTCTGGAACAGCAATAACACAATCACTTGGAAACTTGTTAGAAATGAAAATTGAGACCCTACCCGAGACCCACTGGATCAGAAACTGGAGGAGGGTCCCAGCAGTACATGTTTTAAGCTCCAGGTGATTTTGATATATGGTCAAGTTTGAGAACTTTTGGACTAGATGATCCCCATAGCCTTCTCAAAGTTTCAAAATCCTGTTAATAGATAAAGATCTCACCTAGAACTAGCACTCTGTTCAATTAAATGCATCGAGTCATTCCTAATAGTCTGCATAAAATACTGCAATAAAAAATACCACGTTATATTAGTATTTTAAAATTTACTATATTTTCACAGACAAAATTTATATTAGCAAACTTCCCCCAAATAAGACTCTGTGACAAATGTTTGGTATCATTTTAACAGTGATCATCTCCAAATTAAATATTGGTTCCCTTTATACTTATAATGCAGGAACTTATTCTGGCTGTTGCGGAAAAAACAAAAATCTATGCTCTTATGACAGTTAAGGTGCTTCTATTTCTCAAGACCAGCTGCTACATATAGCTTTCTGTTTCTCATACCCCCTGTGAGAAATACTAGGATATGACCCCAAAGAGGGTACAATAACAAAACTACCTGAACAGATCAAATAGATCAGGCATTCTAGGATTCCCAACCACAGGAAAAAGTAATCAGGAAGCATGAAGTCCCATAAATTTAAAGAATTCTATCCCCAAATACATCTGGTCCCAAAATGTGTTTCAATGAAGTCTACAACAGTACATGGAAATTGTTCTACCAAAGAACCATAACTCTCAAGACTAGAGAGTGTTAGACTTAAGATAATACCTTTAACTTTCCTGAGGCTATTAAAAAAGGAGGACAAAAATAACCCTTTTGACATAACATGAAACCTGGGTTGACTGTCAGAGACCAAAAGGAAAAGCTGTTTAAAAACAGCAGGGGTCAAGTTTAAAAGTCAGCTTTTGCTCCCTAAGATAAAGACTCCTTTCCCACCCAGTTTCTGTTTTGACAGGTGATTGCCCTACAACAAACTCCGCCCTCCCTGACTCACTTCCTTTAACACTAACTTTTTCATTGAAACAAATGCTCTTATCTCTTCACACCCTAATACCAGAAGGATCTAACATATTCTTAAAAACATTTTTAAGAAAAAAATAGCAGTGTTCTAATTTCTGTCAAATTTACCAAGAAAATATGGGATAAAATCAAAAACACTATTTGCTTGCTTCAGGCAAACATAAAATTGCTTTCATTAAGAATCCAAAAAGCATTTATTTTACAGTACTTAATAAAAGCATATTAAAATCTTCTGCTCTGCCATCCTAGACCTATAAAGAAGCCCTCCACGTGACTAAATCCTGGGCGAAGCTGATTAACACACCCAGCAACGTATTTCATTTCCAATTTTCCACTTTCAAATATTTCGTCAGTATATACATTTCTTAGATACTTGGCAGCATTTTATGTCAAAAGGTTTCCAAAAACTTAAAAATAAAACACAAGACAGTCAAATGCCAAATGCCTTTTCTTAAAAAACCCTCCAGACATGACTTCAGCATTTTTAACACTTTGGATCTACTTTAGCAACTAAATTTATTCAAATACAAGAATGAATCTTTGCAAAGGCATAAATTTATACAGTATCTTTTAATTTCTACATTTAGAATATTGATACTATTGTCTCCCAATTGTGTTTGATATCAAACTTAAGTGAGATCAGAGTGGGAAAAAAAAAAAAAAAATGGCAGTAGGACCATCGCCAGGCAAAACTTCTATTCTTCCTCCATTGCTGGAGTACCAAGATGCCTCCTGGGCAAAAACAAAAAAAGCAAAGCAAAAACACACACACACATTTTAAGGCAAGATATGTTAACACAGCTTTAAAGAAATCTGTGGCCTGTAATTTCTTTTGGTTTTGTTAAGAGTATAAATCCCTTTGTCAAGACTCTTCAGATTTCAGCTGCACTTCATAGACCTAAGGTATACCAAGTACTCTCTTGATATGTATGAACACGTTATATTACTAAGACCACCTTAAGAAAAATAAAAAATAAAAAGCTCACACTGCCTCCTACTGTTAAAAGGAAAAACTTATGAGGTCAAATATGGTCCAAACTGCAGGGTGTAAAGGAGAACAAGGATATTATCTTAGCCTGTTTTCTTTTAAATCTATTTCCAAATCAAAACCTCAAAAGGGTTGAGACAGTGTCCACAACCTACTCAAATGTACTGCAAAAAACATCACTAGGTATAACTTAAGAATTGAAAACCATCTTTCCCAAACATGTTTTCGACTTGATGTGTGATATAAACATGGGGAAAAAAGGAAGAAAAATTTTAAAGCGCCATCCTACTTTGCCAGATGGATGGTTACTTTCCCAGATCTAAGGCAATTTTAATAGATGGGTTCTCTTGTTCCCTACCTACAATGAGGTAAACTGTTCCACATCAGATCAGATTCAAAATACCTGTTCATCTTCTAATCAGATGGTAATGGCCATACCCAGGGCTTCCTCGACCTTGATGGTTTTCTCCAAATTTAAAAAGTTGGGAGTAGTGTCATCCATCTTGTCACTGAGACACTTCTGTCTTTAAAATTTCACAAATAGCTCGGGAGAGTATCATGCACCTACCCCATCCACCTCAGCCATGATACTGTATTAAATCACTGAATATGAAACACAGAAACACAAACAATAGTTTTGGGTTTCTTTAAAAATGACATTTGTATTAAAAGTCTTAAAATGAAGAGACAATGATTAAACGCATAAAATTAAAAATTACAATTAGTTAGAATTGGTACATCGCAACAGTAAAATTTTGCTCTTTGCTTCTGGAGGAACACCCTACAACAGGTAATTTAAAAATTTAAAAATAATATAAAAGGGGAGCTAAATACCTGAAAACTTAAGCAAAATGAAGCAAAAAAAAAAAAAAAAGGAAACAAATTCATTGCAAGAGATGGAAATTACATTTTAAAGGCTGAAAATAATAAAGAAATTCACTAAACAACAGGCCCTATTGTCCTGGCTCCTTCTGAAAGATTATTGAAAGGAAACTGGGAAGTGGTTTGGGGAATAGCAGATTCTGGGATATGGTGGGAAGTTCACAGGTTGGCACCGGCTGGAACAGCTGAGTTTTGAAGGCACTCTGCAGACACAGGGGTGCTGGGGGCCCTGAATCACATTTACAAAGTCTTTGTACTGTATTTTAAAAAGCTAGTCATTAAAATCGGTTACTGCCAACCAAAAAACAAAAACAAAAGGCTAAACTTAAAACACACACACACCACACACACACACACACACACACACACCATAGTACACACGAAAATGTGCAGATCTGTAACATTTTTTTCACAGCTGATAAAAAAAAAAAAAAAAAAATACTACCGTTCTCCCCCAGACTCCCCTTTGATACAGTAGGTAAACAAAATAGATTTTTTTTTCCACAAACAAATACCAGCAGACACTTCCTGGCACCCCACACTGTATTGGCATCAGTGTTAACAGTCCCAGTTCAGATGTGCAATACTTCAGATTGGATACACTGTAACAAGAATCCAACTTTGCATAGACATCCTCAGAATCGCAATCAGTCATGGGGTTGCCCTTCCAAGCTGGCAGAAAAGGAACCCAATCTTAACTTCCAGCTACTCCTGGAAAACAAGGAAAAAAACAAAAGTTTCTTCCTCTCCTCCTGCTCCTTCATATGGTTCTCCCGGACTTCCTTCCATGTATTTAAAACTTGGAACTAGAAAAACGGTTGTTGACCAAAAAAAAAAAAAAAAAAAAAAAAAAAAAAACCATTTCCACCTTCTCCCCCTCCTTTTCCTCCATCCCTCCCCCCTCCCATTTTTTTTCCAGGCTGAAACTTTTGCTTGGTGGGTGTCAAGCTGCCGATACTGCGCCCTAACGGCTACTTAAACGGGGAAATATGCATCAACCAAAATCAGGGAGAAACGTACATGCTGCAAAGAACCACATTTCCACCAGAGTATCGGATGGGCAGGACGGGACACCCCCTCGGGTACAGGGTGGAGGCAGGGGACGCCGGCCGCGGAGGCCAGCCGGGCTCCCAAGACACCCTGGTCAATGCAAAGTGGTCTCCAATCTCAAAGCAAGAAAGAAATCACATTTAGAGAGTCGGATGCGTTTGGCTTTTGTGCGCAGAGCGCGGCCGGCGCGCGGCGGCCGCCTCAGAGGATCACGCAGGCCGAGCAGCAGCCCTCATCGCCGTTGGGCTGCGCCGCGTAGTTCATCTGCCGCACGATCTCGGCAAACAGCTCGTCTACTGAGGCTTTGTTTTTGGCCGACGTCTCCATGAAGGGGCAGCTCCACTCCTCAGCCAGGGCCTTGCCCTCGCCGTACGAGACCTCGCGCTCGCCCTCCAGGTCCACCTTGTTGCCCACCAGGATCATGGGCACGCGCTCGTACCGCTTCACGCGGATGATCTGGTCCCGCATGGGCTTGATGTCCTGGAAGCTCTGCTGGTTGACGAGGCTGTAGACCAGGATGAAGCCCTGACCGTTCTTGATATACAGGTCCCGCATGGACGCGAACTGCTCGGTGCCCGCAGTATCCAGGATCTCCAGCACCGACGGCGACGAGTCCACCTCAATCTCCTTGCGGTAGAAGTCTTCGATGGTCGGGTCGTACTTCTCGATGAAGGAGCCCGTCACGAACTGCACGGTGAGCGCGGACTTGCCCACGCCGCCCGAGCCCAGCACCACCACTTTGTACTCTCTCATGGCTCCGTCAGCGCTCTCGCCGCGCCTGCCGCGGCCCCGTCGGGGCTGCCCGCCGGAGAAGGCTGGGCTTGGCGGCTAGACTTCTCTTCCCCTTCCTCAGCTCCTCAGGAAAAACCCAGGAGAGAGTAGCCCAGAGAACGCAGGGCGGAAACCACCGAGCGGGGGCCGGGCGCCGGGCCGGCCCGCGGCGGCGGCGTGTCCCTGGGGCGCGGGTCGGGGCTCCGCAGCAGTCCGCAGCGGCAGCAGCAGCAGCCCGGGCGGCGAACCGGGAGGACAATGCCCGCAGCCTGCGCGAGGCGATGGCTGGAGCTCCTAGCTGCGGCAGCCCGGGAGGGCGGGGAGGCGGTGGCGGCGGGCTGCGGAGGTGGCTGCTAATTGCGCGTCGGGACGGGACGCGCGTGGCATGAGTCCCCGCGGAACGTGCGCCCACCGCCGCGGCCCATCGCGCTCTCTCCCGCAGCCTCTACTGGGCGAGGGCTTCCTACTCGCCGCGCGCAGCCCGGCCCTCCCCTCCCCGGCGAGCATGCCCAGTGCGTTCCGGCCGCGCCTTACCCAAGCGGCCGCTCCTGGTTTTCCGCGGGGCCGGGAGGGGGCGGGGATGTAGGCGGGGCTCCGGATTTGAGTCCAGTTTGGGGAGTGGCGCGAGTTAGGAACTGGCTGGGAGATGGGGTGTGTGTACCTACACTGGAGCGAGGAAAGCGCTGTAGGGAGTATGCAGGCCGCTTTCTTTTACAGCTGTGGGAGTGGTGGACAAGGGCGGCGGCTCTGCGAGAAGCATGTGGGTGCGGCGGGCCGCCTCAGGATGGAGTAGGCTGTGGTCTTGCCAACTCCCGTTATCAAAGGCCCAAGGACGCCATTCACCCAGCCCCGGGCGGGCGTGTGTCTGGGGCCGGAAACCCGAAGTCATGTGGGTGCCGTGGAATGCACGAGCAGCCGGCGGAGCATCCCGGCCCCATAGATTTTTCTACACCGTTCGCCACAGAAACGCTACTCTGTGCACTGCAGCCTTGCACAAAGAAAACAGGAGGTACTCCAAGCCTGAGATACTGTCCCGACTAGGAAAGGGGTAGCCTCTGGTACCTGCAGCTCTCTCGGGGCAGGGTCGCGCGGGTCGTACCCACCTCCCCGCTCGGGTGCGGTCAAAACCCGGAGACTAGATTACATCCCAATCCAGAAGTCTCCGGGCGCCCGCAGTTAGTTCAGGGCATGCTCAGTCGCAGAGCAGGTTTTTGGGCTTGGAAGTAGGAAGCTTTTGCACCACACACCCACACTCTAGCTCAAATTACCTCTCCCAGACTCCGCACTCATTGGTCTCGGGACGCGAGTCTCACACCCCTAAGTGTTGTTGATTGGCTGCCGCCAAGGCTTTATCAGTTTGGGGCGCTTCATTGGCTAAAAAGTAGCCTCCGCTCGCGATTGGTTATTTATAGAGATTGAGAGGAGAGGCGGAGGCACAGCTGTTCTTTCTCCGCTGCTCCCCCACCCTCTGCCTCCCACTTCCCCAACCCAGGCGTTTTGAAGTAAAAGTGAAAAAATAAGAGGCATTTAGGCTGAGAGCTCAGAACTAAATATAGTTCTTTGTTGGTGTTTTCGAGAGAGTCTGACTCCTTGGTTTCCAGTCACGACTGCCCCTCAAAGGGAGCACAAAGGGCTAATTACAGGTTTTGGTCCGCAAGAAACCTCAGAGTTGCCAAGTTTTTTTGCAGGGAGTGGGAGGGGGGCGAGGAGCCGAAATGGGCCACTTGGAATTCGTTTCACCCGGAGGGGTAGGGGAGTGTCCAAGCTTGCCTCAGAGGAAGCGTCTTCGCTGGCTGGCGGACAATCGCTAGACTTAGCTGGGCTGGCGCTCCCGGGAGGTGCGAGGGAGATGCCCCGACTTGTTCCGACTCCCTTGCTCCTCTCTGAGGAGGGATGTCAAGACCTGTCTGCAGGCTGAGCGCGGCGGCGCGCGCCACGGGTGCGGGGTGGGGAGGGAGGCGGTGGAGCTGCGTCAGCGCTGGCTCCCAGTCCTGATGTCACTGCTCCCTGGTTTCACCGTCAGCATTGGAGGGTAAACCTGGGCATGGCTAACACTTGGTTTCAGTTCCTAATGCCGCCGTGACTCACACTGCGTTTGCTAGTTAACCTCCAAACCCCTGGCCGAAGCTTCTTCAGCGCGTCTGCAGCGTGAAGTCCTTGGGCACCGAACCGGGCGGGACGTGGGCTGCCCCTGATTCCTTGGGTGGAGTGGGTGGTGCCCACACCCGCGCCTCACCCCATCGTTTAGTGGAGAGAGGAGACTTTCACCTTGACTGTCAGAGTGCTTGGATGTAATGAAGCTTATATAATTCTCCAGAAAAACCTCTCAGAGGCAAACTCGCCTAAGCTGGGGAGAACCCTGCCAACATTCACCCAATATGTAATGTCCGCCAAGCGTTTTACATGTACTGTCACTCCTCATAATAATAATTATTTACCCATTTTAAAGATGAGGAAACTGAGGCTATGAGATGATCAGTAATTTGCCTGCGATGCCACAACTAGAAAGTGGTCAACCTAAGATTCCAACCAAGGGATTTGCCTGCAGAGCCTAGTCTCATAACCACTAGACCATACTTACCTGTCACATGAATGTTCCGGTATGTTATTCTTTCTTGGGTGAATTTAGAGGCAGTGTGTTCAGACTGGCTCTTAAACCCAAGCAAGAGGGACCTCCGCCCACAGCCACCCTCTGGCTTTTCTCTGACAGGGCCCCTCTTCCGGTCAGGTAGATGGCCCAGCTGGAGCCTGACCCTCTTCTAGACTGTATATGCTCCATATAGTCGGAACTCTGGACTGCTCTGCCCAAATGGTGCCAAGTCCACTTTCAGGATCTGGTCGGGACTCTGAACTCACTCCTGTGTCCAAAATAGCTCTTCTTTGGGGGTGTGGACAGTACCTGGACCTGTGGGCTAAGGTGTACACTCCCGGTGCTTTGGGCCCCTCGCAGTGCAGGAAGAGGGATCATTTGCGATCAGCTTTATCCTCCATGACACCTTTCAGCCTGGCCCTTAGAGAAGTCCAGGAATTCATAATTCACAACCGGCCATCCAGCTCCGTGTAGGAGGTATTTGTCAAGGTGGGAGGACAGATCATATTTTGTTTTAAAAGTTTGTTAGCTTGATTTATGACTTAAATACTTAGGTTAATGCTATGTGAGCCTCTCTTTGTACTCTTTTTTTTTTTTTTTTTTTTTTTTTTTTTTTTTTTTTTTGAGAGGGAGTCTGGCGCTGTCGCCCGGGCTGGAGTACAGTGGCCGGATCTCAGCTCACTGCAAGCTCCGCCTCCCGGGTTTGCGCCATTCTCCTGCCTCAGCCTCCCGAGTAGCTGGGACTACAGGCACCCGCCACCTCGCCCGGCTAGTTTTTTGTATTTTTTTAGTAGAGACGGGGTTTCACTGTGTTAGCCAAGATGGTCTCGATCTCCTGACCTCATGATCCGCCCGTCTCGGCCTCCCAAAGTGCTGGGATTACAGGCTTGAGCCACCGCGCCCGGCCCTCTCTTTGTACTCTTAACCACAAATATTAGGTGTGGTTCTGAGTGTGATATAGAAGCAAATGCTTTGTCCTTCTGGGCCTGAAGTCTAATCTTAAGTATTGGATATCAGTTGAGGCCTTAGGCAAGTCACTTAAGTTCTCCTAACCTTAGTTTCCCTTTCTATAAAACGGTGATAATATAATTTGCCCTACCCACCTAGCTACACAAGGAACCTTGGAGAGAATCTGGTCACCAAATCATTTTACAGCAAAGAGCAGAGCAGAATTAGGACCCTGCTGTCTTAGCTGCCCTTACCATGTGCCAGGCTGTCCAGAGGCATAATAATTAACAGATAATAGATGGAAACATGTTTCTAAAGCTGCAGCACCCCATACGTGCATCAAATTACTGCTCAGACCCAGAGAGCCTGACAGTCCCTTGAGAAAAGACCATTCCTAAGAATCTAGGTAGCCATGTGGATGGGTATTACTGAACCTTTATGGCCTCCTCAGTACCAGAAAGATGCCACAATCTGAATACTTTTTATTAGGAATTCTTCAATAGCAATTTTTATTACATTCACATGGTCTTCCACAGGAAGATTTATATTGGAGCTCTGGGATTTCAAATGAAGCAATGAAAAGTGTAGAAGTCCAGGAATTCATAATTCACCATCGGCCATCCAGCTCCGTGTAGGAGGTATTTGTCAAGGTGGGAGGACAGATCATATTTTGTTTTAACAGTTTGTTATCTTGATTTATGACTTAAATACTCAGCCTCCTGAGTAACTGGGATTACAAGTGCCTGCCACCACACCTAGCTAATTTTTGTATTTTTAGTAGAGACAGGGTTTCATCATGTTGGCTAGGCTGGTCTCGAACTCCTGCTCAGGTGATCCACTCACCTCAGCCTCCCAAAGTACCGGGATTACAGGCGTGAGCCACTGCCCCCAGCCCAGTGTACAAATTTTTAAGGTTGATCATTTCTTCATGTAAAATTTGTTAGGAATATTTTTACCCCCACTCACAGCGTGAAACATTATCTATCTTGTACCATAATTATTACATTTACATAGCTAAGTCTTGTCACCTTAAGCACCACATGAAATACTCAAGGGCAAGGTCCATGTCTAGTTTATCTTTAGAGCCACCTTTGTCCCTTGTAAGTACTGTAGAAAGCCCTCAAATATTTATTAAATGTGTGAATGGTATTTTATCCTTTTCCAAACTATTTGTGTTAGAAGATCATATCAATCCTTCATAAGACATAACATGTTTTTGATCCACAGAAAAATGTATACTAATGTTTCAGCCTCTCTCCCTGAGTCACAAAGATGCTGGAGTGATCAAAGTCTTCATTTATTGGGGTGAAAACACTAAATCAGTGCTATCTTGAGGAAAGACACCAAAGCATCCAACAGATAAATCTTTTGTCTGAAGAAGACAACATTTTCAGATCACGTGGAAAGGCATTTCTGAAAAACAATCTAACGTAAAAGCTATCAGGAAGAGACAGCTTAACCTTGATACTTTGCATAAACAGGGGTCCCATTCCTAACCTTTGCTCACACAGGGACCTGCTTCCAAGATACACAGGTTGGGCCTTGAAAGAATTAGATTTCTTAGAACACGAATCTTTTAATTCCTCAAGAAAATAAGTACCTGCTTGTTCTTTTCATTTGTACAAGATAAGTGGAGGTTTATTTCATGATGTTCATAGTTTTAGTGTCACCTATAGGTAAACAAAAATTCTAAACAAATTCTGATTTTGAAAGCACCAAAGGTAAGTTGATAGTAACCATATATCATTATTTGAAAGTGGAAGTAGGCCGGGCACGATGGCTGACACCTGTAATCCCAGCACTTTGGGAGCCTGAGGCAGGCAGATCATGAGGTCAGGAGTTTGAGTCCAGCCTGGCCAACATGGTGAAACCCCTAAAATTAAAAAATAAAAAAATTAGCTGTGTGACAGTGGTGCACACC